TGACGGCAAATCGGAGACGTCTGTCGATTTGGACCACGAGCTCTGGCTGCGGAAAGGCTCCACGAGCCAATGTGTGTTCGCAGTTCCCGCGAACGCCTTTCCTGCGGCTGCGCCCACGTCGGCTTGATCTTCCATGCCCTGGAGAGAGACTACCGCGAAGATCGCCTCGTCTTACTCCAGACCGCGAATGATGGCCAGGCCCACATGGCCCGTCGCACATCCCTGGCCTGGACCTCCGACAATGACGGAGCCCACCTGGCCCTCGTCGTCCTGGCCATTCCAATGAAGAGCCATCTCGAAGGATCTCACCTGACGCACGTCGTCCAGCAGATCCAGGATAGCGGTCCAGGAGCTCCCGGAATGAGCCGCATCTCGCGACGCGTCGAAGAAGTTGGACGGGCTCTGGTTCTGGTCCGCCTCGGCCTTCAGACGGTCGGTCACACTCCTGGACGGTGTCCTGCAGCCTTCTCTCCAGTGTGCTTTTCCCAACAGTTAGGAAACCTCGCTCTTTTCTTGATGTCCTCTCGCAGCAGACGACGAGTCTTCCCAGCTGCGTCTTTGCCACCTGCTTTGGCCTCTCGCCGTCGGACGAAGAAGTCGCGAACCATTCGCCTGTCGTTCTACATCTGGCGTGACTCTTGCCACGTTTTGCGCCTGGTGGCGGCGGTGACCTCGGCAAAAACGCCAACGAGACCTTCTTCTGCAAGGTCCTGATCACCCAAGGATACCAGAATGGCATTCAGCTCGTCCTCGTCGTACTCGGTATCGCGTTTGCCCGTGCAGTGAACTCTGTTGTCGTTCTCTCCAGCGCCCTCCTCTTCTTCCGCGTAATCCACGGAAATTGCCCTCGGGCCCAGCACGGTCATAAAACGTGACTTCGAGCCCGCCATAAGCGTCGTCTTCGGTAGGAAACTCTGCTCTGACGCGTCAAGCTCCAGAACCGCACTCCTGACGGACTGAACATCCTTCTTTCCGTTCAAAATTGCTCACGGATTGACTCGATTTTGTCCTCTGAGACCGCATTCCTCCTCGTAGCACCTCGCCTTCACAGAATCCAGCAACATCAACTCTGCGATTCTCTCGGCCGTCGCAAGAGGCTCTCACCCTGCTTGATGGCGAAATCAAGCATGGGTTCGTTTTGGACCTCCCTCTTTCTGTCTCCTGGACGCTGCCTCTTTAGCAAGTCCAAATGCTCGGTCAGCTGAAAGAGGTCCTCAGGGGAATCCAGGGAGCTCTGGATCGCCTCGAACTTAGACTGCGAATCCACTGGCTAAGTCTCTAGCGCGAGCTGGCGTTGCAACTGTGAAGCCTCAACTGCTCCATTCCGAACCACGGCGGTGGTGCTGAATAGATTTTGTTTGGGAGGAAATCGCGATTTTCTGGACGGGGCCACGACTCTCTCCATCACCATGCTCTCCAATTCCAATCTGGTCGCCAGTCCCAGCCTGAGGTCCACCAGTCGGGGTTCGCCCAGGGGATCGAACCGGCTGTGGTTCCGTCCTGAGGCATGTGGGCAGCTGCCGCCGACGCCGTCCTGGTAGGAGTGGAGAGCTGTTCCCACGGATCTGTGCCGCCGAACTGGTCGACGGCGGGGTCTCGTCGACCCCTATGGGCTGCCGGCTGCTTGTCGGACTGGGCGTCACCAGCGACGCCCTGCGAGCCATGCCCGTCGATACCCTCCTGCTCCCATGCGACCTCGTCCGCGTTCCTGCTACCATTGTCGGCTGGCATGGGAGCATGAGAGATCACATAGACGACCGAGGTATATCTTTGGGCACGCTCGGAAGCACCCGAGATTCACTACAGTCCTTGGGCACGCCAGTGCCCTGCAAGACAAAATGGCTGTGGAGCGCATGTCTTTCACATACGGCACACGGAAGAGAGGGGAGAGGTGAAACAGAACAACAGCCTTCCACTGCCGGCCAGGCCAGATAGAAACACCAGGAGGAGGAAGGAGGATGAGAAGGCAGCAACAGCAGCGCTCCGAAAAAATCTGAGGTCGATCGAACTATGGAGTAAATTGGGAACTCCCCTCATAAGTGCGCGCTCGGCACTACACTGGACGCGAGGCACCAGCGGCATTCCTTTCCGAAGTCGCCAGTGCACGGCCCAGGGCACCAAGTCCCACATCACTGCTGTCAGAGAGGATCAGTTCGACAGCAAAGGCAGCAACGACCCAGGAGAAGGACGGGCGAGCAGGGGGCGCTGTGGAGGAGGAGGAGGAAAAGGAGGAGGAGGAGGAAAAGGAGGAGGGAAGGAAGCGAGGAGAAGGAACGGACACACGCAATATGCGACCTGAAGAATATGAGTCGCACCAGCTCGAGTCAGGTGTGCGAGCGGAGCCTTGGGAAAATCAAGCGCACCACTCAGGAGTTACATCGCCCGCGGATGCTGACAACTAGCACAACTTGAAAAACCCACTAGGCAACCCATAAAAGAAACGGAACCCTAATTCCTATCACACCGGAGGCGATGAAGGGAGGAGGAGGGGGAGGCCGAGGAGGTGAGGGAAGGAGGGGAAGGATGTGAATATGTGCGCGTCGTCACAAGCAGGCTCTCCGCACTTGATACCAAC